GAGCCCTTAACCACCATGCCACCTGCTACCCCCACATGACAGCTTTTTGAAGCATGCTTACAGAATTTCATAGTCAAGGATGTAAGTACATTTACCATCCCCAACACTCAACACCCCCCTGTTGTGCACACCCAAAGATCGAAGATCCTTCTGTCAGTGTTTTGGAAGTATATATGACTCCTCGCCAACACCAGCGTTCATTACTTCGCTGAGGTACAGAGTTCCAAAACCCGCCTCCCTGTTTACCTGCATCCTTGTGCCTTCTAACCAAGTTCTCCCATTCCCCACACCAGTCCCTGCCGAGTGGCTAATCTACCACTACTCTCTACTCCTAGGCTTTTGTATCATGTAGCCCCCCAGTGAAGAGGAATTATTTCCCTTTCAAACCCTGGCTTATTTCAGTAAGACTTATGTCTTCTGAATTCATCTGTTTTGTCTAAAATGCCAGGAATTCCTTGTTCTCTACGGCTGAGAGCGTGCTATGACGTAGGCGCGCCCTTTTCTTGTCCAGCCTGCGGTGCTGGGCAGTGCTCTGCGTTAACCCACGTGCCTGGGCGCAGCCTCGATTATCCCGCAGATCCTCAGGCTGACTGGGGCAGAAGCTGGTTTGCGCTTTAGCCTCTGGGAGGTGAGGACGCAAGGCCATCCTGGGTGTCTCTGGGTGCACCCACTGGAGGAGGAGCACACCCCCTCCACCCCTCCACCCCTATCAACACCCACTCTCATCCCTCACCTCCTCACCCCCACCCTTCACAATTCAAACCAAGACTTCCCTGTCTAGGTCATCTCATAAACTGCTGAATCAAAATAATCTCAGAACCAAACCCTGAGTCACCTTTATTTAGAAGGAACCACAGTGCACCTACCACTGATTTCTAGGTGTCTGGAGAATTAAAGTATTTTTAAAGTACTTAATTTTTATTATCATCATAATCTTGTTTGTATTACATTGAATCACATATATCTTTACAGTGTAGATTTCTTTTTCCAGCATGATTACCATGTGTATCAGCCAAGACAAAGACATTTCATCCCCATCGTCATCATCAAATAGCTTTTCATCATTTTTTTCAGGTAATTATTATTTATTCTCATTCTTTTTTAAACATTCAATCACTATATATCATTTGGCTTGCATAAATAATTTATCCAGCACGAAATACTTCTCAGACCAGTCCAGTTGAGAATACTGTGCATGTTATCATGAACAGGTAATAAGCCATTTCTGTGTCCCACGAATGCCATGCCTCTTTATTTGTGCTCTTGTTAACTTTCACTATCCTCTCCCTTCTCTCCCCCTTCCACACTGTCTTCATCATCGCTAACTATTTTCACTGCTTTTATGCCCTCCAATATTTCCATCACTACCCTAAGGTGCGGACGGTTGGTATATTTTGAGTGGACACATACAATGTCTCTCTTTCATAGCCTGGCTTGCTTCACTCAGCAATAAATCTTCCACATTTAACCACTTTCTGTCAAATGCCAGTCTTGTTCTTTATGGCTGAGTAGTATTCCATAGAATACTTTTTCCATCCAGTCATATGTTTGTGGACATTTAGGTTGGTTCCAGGTCTTTTCTTTTTCTTTTTTATAATTAAAAAAAAATTTTTTTTGAGAGGTTTTTGCTATAGGGTGTGTGCGCTCGCCAGACAGACAGAGACAGAGAGACAGAAAGTGAGAAATCACCCCCCGGGGGGATGGCCACGCCGCAATCCCCTCTCCTCCATTCTCCTCTTAGGATCTTGGGCACACACACACACACACACACACACACACACACGTGCCCGACGTGAGTTGTAAGCCACCTGGTCCAGGCCTGGTCCAGGACTTGACCCACGGTCGACTACATGGAAGTCCAGCGACATAGCCATCACGCTAACGGCTGGTCCCCCGTGTCTTTTTTTAAATAATTATTTTATTTAACTTTTATTTATTATCATTATCATTATTATTTAAATTGGATCAGAGAAAGACAGAGAGAGGGAAAGTGAGAAAGCAAGCTGCTAGGTCTGGGATTTGAACCATTTTTAGCCATGTGGGAGTCCAGTGTCCTTAACCACTACGCCACCTGCCGCCCCCGGTTCCATATCTTAACATAAACATTGATATGCAAACACTTTTCGGACTGAGCACGGAGAACTAGAATCCTCACAAGTATTTTCGGTTTCAGTTCCCTGGAACCAGACCAAGGGGCTGTGATACCCGGCACGACCACTGGAGGGCAGTGTAGGCTTGGCTGGAGGCAAGTCGGTGCGGAAAGGGGGCGCGGTGCTGACCGGAGGACGCAGGCGACGCCCCGCCTTGCTTTGTTTGCGCCTGGAGTGTAGCGTAGTGTCTGGCCTGGCTGGCTGAGGGTCACGGGGATTTCAGGGCCGCAGGCGGTCCCGCGCTGTCCACCAGTAAGCGCGATACAGGCTGCAGGCAGGACAAGGGCTGGGGTGAGGGGCTGGGGTGATGATGCTGACCCGGTGGGCCCGGGGATGCTGCCCTGGGAGCCCCTTCCTCCCGTGCTTTCCGGGATGGGGTCGGGGAAAGGGGAGGGCAGCTTCCCTGGGATGTTTCTCAAGGATGTCTCTACCTTCAGAAGGTGGCCACATGGATTTCTGTGTTCCCCAATGCTCCCCCTTCTCTTCCTTCCTCCCCCGCCAGAGTTCTCTATCTATTCGTCCATTTTCCAAGGAGTCACGCCCTTCTCTTCCCGGTGGAAGAGTCCACTTCCGGCAAGCCAGCTGGGCTGGCATCGTACATGCATTAGGCCTCGGCTGTCTGAAGCTCCCTGACCTTTTAGGGAGTCACCGAGGCGCTGTTACGCTGGGAAGGGGGCTGAATTCAGCCTCACTCCACTCCCCGGAAGCTGAAATATTGCATCAAATGCCCTTGGAGCCCAGGGATCGTTGCATCACACTGTGAAATTTCAAGAGGCTATGACCCCTGGCCTCTCTACCCATCTGGGGACCAGGTAGAAGAAAACAGGAGAGAGACAGGCCCATGCACTGGAACCCTCTTAGGATGGGAGCGACCTCCAAATCTGCAGCCCTTTTTTTCCCAGCTGAGTTCTAAAAACAAGAGACAAATAGAGATAAAATACCAGTTTCGTACCTGATTATAGCTGGAAGGGGACATGGCTGAGGTGAGTGGCAAGAAACGGGTCCCTAACATTGAACCCCAGAACTGGGCTTCTCTACATGGCCTCAGGCTGCCCCCATGCCGGCCCTGGTCCCTGTACACTGGAGCTTGGAGGATCCCACCCAGGCCTGGAATTTGCAGGAAGGAGGACTCCAGGGGACCCCACAGGGAGCAGACTCACCTGGTTCCACCGAGCTCCAAGTCAGAGGAGTCTCTCCAGCAGAGGGGAGGATCAGGGGAGGGCCAGGCGGTCTGCTGACTGCTGTCCCAGGAGTCACCACCGTGGGAGTGGGTGCTGCTCTTCACTGTCCCTTCTTACACCCAAGGAGGTGGCCAGGTTTTCTGTCCTTATGTCCCAGTGACCATGCCCCTGTGGCTTCCCCTGCCCTTGAACTTTCCAGTCCCCTACTAACTGTTGTCAGAGATAGAACTCTGGTTTGCACAGCGGTGTCTCGGGCTGGGGTCAAAGCTCCCCATCCCCCACTGGAGTCTGAATTGAAGCTGCTCTTGACAACCGCACCCCCACCCCTGGCCCTGCCACGGGGTCCTTCCTCTGTCTCTGCCTCTCTCACTTCCAGGGTGTCCAGGCGCCAGTAGCTTGAGCAACTTCCGGGGCAGCAGAATGTCCCCGTTGCCAGTGATCCCTGCAAACATGGAAAATGCCCTAGGCGTTGGTCATTTCCTTCAAATCAGTCCAACAAGATTTTCAGAAATTCATCCTGAACTTAAGTGGGGCCTTTGCCAACCTGGGTGGGTCTGATGTCTTTTTTTTTTTTTCCTGGAAAACAAAACAAAACTTTGGTTTCCCCACAGAGGCTTGCAGATCCTTCAGAACCTGTCACTGCTCGTGCCAGAGCTGCCTGTGCCCGGCTGCCTCAAGCCCCATCCAGCATGCTCGTCCCCCTCCCTCCTGTCAGGAGCAGCCCCAGGCCGCAGTGTCTGCTCCGTGAGGGCCAACCCCACGGTGTCCTCACCCAGCCTGCTGCTCTCTGGGCCCTGATTCCAGAGGCTGATCTGAGCAGATCTGAGCAGACCCAGGGAAAAGCAGGCAGTGGCCTGGGGCAGAGAGGAAAGAGGGGGACACGGGGGCAGGCTATTGCAGTCTGGACTGCTGTGCCCACAAAAAACAGGGGAGCTGGGGAGAGACAGATAGAGACCACACATCCGCACAGCATCTGCTAGGCGTGGCGGCCCTACCCACGGGGAAAGAGGCCCTCATTGGTATTTGCCCCTATGTTCAAAAGGAATCGAGTAAGCACCCTGACCAACAGCCTGGAGAAGTCAGCTTGGAGGAACCTCATCTGGCATACAGGCTCTCCAGCACGTGGGCTCTGTCCCTGGAGCCTCCGCTGCTCCCCCTCTGCTTCTTGGGCCTGGATTCTGCATTCCCCTGGCCTCCAGCAGCCCGCAGCCTCTGGTGCCTGGTTGTGGCCTGCAGTGTGCTTCTCGCTGGTGATGCTTTACTCCGGCTTTGCGTAGCGGAAAGCCAGTCTTCTGGGCCACCGCTCAGGGTCTGTGGGAAGATGAGTCAGAATGTGAGTGACAAATCCAGACGCAGGTAGAGCGCAGGCCTGGGCTGAGAGTTGCCGGGGTCCCACCGCCCTTTCATTCCTAGATCTCCTCGTTCCGGTTCCTACCTCCATTCTAGTCGATGAGAGCCGTTGGCCTCTGGAGAGCCAGCACCACCTCTGACAGTCAGGTGTCTCCGTAACCCCCGCTGTTGGGAGGCAGCCCCTGGTCTAGTGCCTTAAACCCTTGCATCTAAAACGTTAGCCTTGTCACCAGCTTGGCTCCAGCCTCCGGCCCAGGCATGTGATGAGTCCCCTCTCATGTTGAGCTGATTTCCAGAATGCTAAGAGCATTCTCTCGAGTTTATAAGTTTCTCAAGACTTCTCTCCATGCCACAGTTCAAAAAGCACACAACCCCTTGGGGTGGAAGGAGGAGGGAGACAAACAAATACTTTCACTTCTCTTTTCCTGGCCTGGGAGGAGCCCTCCCGGGTGAGTCAGTCCTAACAGGATTGCTGCTCTGGGCTCTCCGGTCAGACCAGGCAGCGGCAGCTCGTCCCAGCTGGGGAGTCGGGAGATCAGAGGGTACTGGAGGCCCAGGCAGGGCCTGGAGCACAATGGCCGTTGAGAACCCTGACCTCACTGCCAGGTGAGTCTTATCGCTCGTATATCTTTATCTCTGCTTATTTCTCTGCAGTCCTCGATCTAGCTAGCTGGTGTCCAGAGCTTCAGTTTAGGCATCTTTACAAGAACATGGGCAGGCGGTGCAATGCCAGGAGACAGCCCGTAGGAGGAAACTGGGTTTTTAAAAGGGCAACTGTGAACCTGTACCTGTCCTGACACAGGTCTCCGTCAACTTTGGGGCTGTTCGGTTAGGGGGCTGAAAGGTCTGAGCTTTTCCTCTGCTGATCTTGATCAGAGGAAGGACTCGGAAGAAAAAGCCCCGACACTGGACGTTGGGTGCAGGCCAAGGGTTTTTATTTTCATTTTGATTTCCTGTTCTAGGATGTGCGATTCCTCTGACAAAAAAGAAAAAAAGAAAAATCCAATCTCTTCTCTATTTTAGAAATAACATTATTCAATCTTTTTAATGTTTTGATGTAAAAAGGAAAAAAAGCAAAAGAAAGGTATTATACAGTCTAGTTCCTAAAATTTTCAACAGTGTAAAAGTATAGAGGAAAAAGTCACCTTCACCTCTCACCCCACCTTGCAGCTTCCAGTACAGTCCTGCCAAGTCTTGGATTCGGGCTTCTATGTCTTTTTCTTTTCAGTGACACATGTAACTTACTTAGCAAATAGATTGTGTTTTGTTCCCATGATAAGTGGGATTATGTCGTATATGTTGTATATATTATGCGGCATTTTGCATCTTCACTTATTTTAATAGAAATCTGATAGAGCTTTTCACCATAATCCATAGAGACCACCTCCTCCTTAACAGTTACATGCCATTTTATAGCATTGATAGAGCATACTTTTTAAACCGGTCCCCTTTTGATGGACACTTAGGTTGTTTCCAATTCTTCACTTTTTCCAACAAGCTGTAATTACACTGATTACCTATTTCCTCTTGGTTGCTTGAATGTATAGAATTATTTGTCTTGTGTCAAATATTTTGTAAAAAAAAAAATGGCATTATTGAGGCAAAGAGTACTCATTTTAACTTGTTTACAGAGTCTGTCAAATTTGTCTTTCTAAATGACTGGATCAGTATCCTGCCAATAGTAACTGAAACAAGCGATCTCCCTGCGTCCAGCCAAACTTTGCAAAAGTGATAGATCAAAGTTACGTGTCTTATTTTAATTTGTATTTTCCTGAGTGTTTGGAAGCTTTTGGTGTTTGTTGACTTTAAAGTCCCTCTTGTGTGATTTGCTCAGTTATTCTTTGCCATGTTATGCAATTGCGGTGTTTGTCCTTTCTTTAATAATGCAGAAGTTTCACTAGATATTCTGAAGCATGTAAGTAGACTTTTTCTTTTAACTCTGTGTGTGGTGACTTGCTTTGCTAAAGCTTGAAATTTCAAGTATAGGCCCGTTGGGGTGCTGGTTTTGTAAGGTAGATGCACCTTTGTTATACGTAAGTAAAGTGATGCAGAAAGTTCCTCGTGACTTCCATGAGCATCGTCAGTTTTTCACCAGAGTTTTTGTGCTTTTTACAGCAGCAGATTCGATTCTACCTTTATTCCAAGGCAAGTTTCTTCTTTAATAGTTCTGAAAATGTTTTCTTTTTCAATTTTAGACAAAATTGTCCTTCTATCGGAGCAACTTTAGCTTTCACAGCTTCTATCTGTTCCTCTGGCTCTCATTTCCTCCATGATTATTTAATTCTTAGTCGTTTTTTTTATTTCTTGTAATTTCTTTAAAAAAAAATAGCCGATTGCGTGGCCAACAGGTGTTGCTGGACTGCCACATGACCGTCCACAGTCCAAGTTCCAGACCTGGCCACTTGAAAAGCATGCCTGGCGTGTGTGCATGTGTGCCCAGAATCCCAGGCGAATGGAAGAGGAGGGACAGCAGAGTGGCCATCTCCCTGGGGAGCGATTTCTCACTTGCTCCCATTGTCTCTCTCTGGTGAGCACATGCATCTTGAGACAAAAGCCTAAATTAAAAGTATATATATATATATAATGTCTATTTTTTTTACATTGTATGACAATTTTTTAAAAGTTTATTTATTTCTCCCATGAGAGAGAGAGAGAAATGATCCCTTCCAGCAGGATCTTTGTACTATAATCCACCCCCTCCCATCTCAGTTATCCTGAATCATGGTCAGATATGCAGCCCCTCTCACCACTGACATATTCTGGGAGGTGCCAGGATGTGAACCCAGGACCTTTCTGGTGTGGGTCCAGTTGCATTACCACTGTGCTATCCCACCTGGCTATTGTATGACACTTTGTAAGTTATAGGTCTGATTTTTAGTGTCTTCCTCAGTACAATGAAAATAATTTTATCTGCCTTTTGGGCTATATTATAACGTTATTTGAGATAAAGATAACATAGTAAATAGCTCTAACAATTATGTCTATTTTTTAATTGACACATAACAACTGTATATATTTATGAGGTACAGTGTGATTTTTTTCAATTCATGTATACAATGTGTAATAATCAAATCAGAGTAGTTAGCATATTCATCATCTCAAGTTTTTAGTATTACTTCTGGTTAGAAACATTAAAAATACTCTCTTTTAGCTATTTTGAAATATACGATAAATTGTTATTAACTAATAGTCACTCACTCTATTGTGAGCACTAGATGGTAATTGTGTACATTGACCAACATCTCCCTATCCCCTCTCCCCCTTTTACCCTTCTCTGCCTCTAGAAACCACCATTCTACTCTTCAATTCTATGAAAACCTCTTTTTTAAACTTTCACATACAAGTTAGAACATATGGTATTCTTCTGGGCTTGATTTATTTCACCTAACATGGTGTCTTCCAGGCTTGCTCAAATTGCCTTGAATGACCAGATTTCATCGTTTTATTACGATTATTGCCAGAGGGCATGAGCGCTTGTCAGAGACATAGGGAAAGGGAGAAGGGGAAAGCACCCCCAAATAGGGCAGGGTCATGCTGCCATCCCTTCTTCAGTTCTCCATCCTGTTGGGATTTGGGGCATGCATGCACATGTGCCAATATGTTATTCAAGCCAGCAGGGACAGGATTTGCACTGCAGTTAGCCATGTGAGACCAAGCTCCAAGATTCCAGTTTTTTAAATGGCTGTTTATATATACCACATATGGGTATATATGTGCCACATTTTCTATATCTATTCGTCTGCTGATGGACACTTAAGTTGATTCCCTGTCCTGACTATTGTGAGTAAATGGTGTTGCAATAAACACAAAAATGCAAATATCTCTTCAATGTACTAATTTCCTTTCCTCTGGATATATATACCTAGTAGTGGGATTGCTGGATCATAAGGTAGTTCTATTTTTCCTTTTTTTCGGTACCTCCATACTGGTCTTCCATAATGGCTGTTATAAATTATATGTCCATTAACAGAATAATAGAGCTCACCTTTCTTCACATGCTGACCAGAATTTGTTAGTTTTTGTTTTTGTTTTTATAATAGCCATCTTAACTTGAGTGAGATGCTATTACACTGGTTTTGATTTGCACTTTCCTAATGATTAGTAGTAGTAACATTTTTCTTTTCTTTTTTTTTTTTTTTTGGCCATTTGTATGTCTTCTTTTGAGAACTGTTTGTTCAGATCATTTGTTCATTATTAAAATCAGATTATTTGATTTTTTTAATCCTTTTTTTGCTGCTGAGTTATTTTAGTTCTTTGTATATTCTGAATATTGTTTGTCAGATGAATAGTTTGCAAATATTTTTTCTCATTCTGTAAGTTGTCTTTTTACTCTGCCAATCATTCCTTTTGCTTTGCAGAAGATTTTTAGTTTGCTATAATTTCATTTGGCTATTTTTGTTTTTGTTGTTTGTCCTTTTTTTTTTTTTTTTCTTTTTTTGGAGAGGTTTTTGCTATAGGGCATGTGTGCTCGCCAGACAGACAGAGAGAGACAGAGAGACAGAAAGCGAGAAATCACCCCCCGGGGGGATGGCCACGCCACAATCCCTTCTCCTCCATTCTCCTCTTGAGATCTTGGGCACGCATGCACTGCACCCGGCATGAACTTGAACCACAGTCAACTACATGGGAGTCCAGCAACATAGCCATTACACTAACTGCTAGTCCCTCTTGCTTGTGCTTCTGAAGTTGACCCTCCAAAAAAAATCTTTGCTGAGATCAAATAAACTGAAGAATATCCAAATATTTCTCCAATTTTCTTTTAGTAATTTCATAGTACTAGGTCTAACATTTAAGTTTTTTATCAATTTTGAGTAGATTTTTGTATACAATAAAAGATAGAGGAGTCTAGTTTCATTCCTCTGAGTATGGATATCTAAGTTTCCCTGTATGATTTATTGAAGAAACTATTCTTTCCCCAATCAAAGTTCTTAGTATATATATATATATATACACATACACACACACACACACACATACACACACATATATATATATCACAGATTGTTTGTTCTGTTTTCTATTTTGTTCCCTGATCTATATATCTGTTTATGTTTTATGTCAGTAGCATGCTATTTTGGTTATTACAGATCATTGGGTTTATTTTTGAGGGAGTATTTTTATTTCTTTCTAAGCTCTGCAAACTACACCTTAAACCACATTTTGTTAATTTATCATCTCATCTTCATTTTCTTGCTTTTGGGAGGTGGGCTTTTGTGGCATTAAACACTTTAGGGACATTTTCCTAATTTTTTTTAGTTATCCTTCCCAAAAATGTCTGAATTTTGCATTTTATGGTCTTTTTTTCTTTTTTTTTTTTTTCCCATGTGGCTCCCTCAGGCTTGGCCTGAGCAGATCTCCCCAAACTTCTACTTGCTCAGATGTTATCTGGGTGATTTTCCCCCCACATTTCCTGCTTTAACACGAAAGTATTTCCCTTCTGAACTACAATTTGAAGGCTGTTTTTTTATTCTTATCGATTTTTCTGAAGGCATCATTAATCGAGTAAACTAACTTTTTCTCACTGATCTTCAGTGCTTCCCTTTTCATTAACCAGGTGGCTACATAGGCAGAGTATGTTTCTGTGTTTTCTCTTCTCTGACATTGGC